GGGGGGGGGTCACCTGCCTTGTGGGGTGCCACGGGGCTGGGTGGGTCGTGGGGACCCCAGGGTCCCGTTCCTGGAAGCCAGGGGCCCCCTTGCTGGGGGGCTCCCAGCCAGTATGTGTGTGGGGGGGGGTCAGGCAGGGAGACTGGGCTGCACCCCCCCCACAGCAGTGACAAGCGGAGGGGAGGGTCAGCAGCCAGCACGCCAGGGCCCCCCCGCCCAGCACCATGCTCCGTAGCCCCCTCACACACACGCATGGCCCAGGGGGGTCCCTATGCACCCCCAGGGTCCCCAGACCAGGACTTGGATACACAGACCCCCCCCCACCACAGCATAGGGGGGTCCCTGCAGACCCCCCCCCAAAATACAGGATGTCCCCAAGCCCTTCAGCCCCCTCCCTCAAGGTGTCCTGCAGCTCCCCCATATTGCAGAGGCTCCCCAAGCCCTGCAGCCCCCCTCCATGGTGCAGAATGTCCCCAAGCCCTGCAGTTGGGGGGACAGGGTGTCCCTGCAGCCCCCCCGGGGCCGCCCCCAGCGCTCGCCCTGCGCCCCATAGGACTCGGCTTCGCCTCCGCTCGGAGCCGCCGCCATGGGCAACATCTTCGGGAACCTGTTGAAGAGCCTCATTGGGAAGAAGGAGATGCGGATCCTCATGGTGGGGCTGGACGCCGCCGGCAAGACCACCATCCTCTACAAGCTCAAGCTGGGCGAGATCGTCACCACTATCCCCACCATAGGTGTGCGGGCACTCGGACGCCTGGGCCCTCTGCCCGCCTTAGGGCTTTTTCGCTCCTCCCTGCCTCGGTTTCCCACCTGGAAGGGTGGCAGGAGCTGGGATGGATGGGTGCCAGGGCAGGACAGAGGTGTCTGGATGGGATGGGGATGCCAGGGTGGCCGTGTGTGCCTTAGTTTCCCCCTGCCTCGTTGCCCGCAGGCTTCAACGTGGAGACAGTGGAGTACAAGAACATCAGCTTCACCGTGTGGGACGTGGGCGGGCAGGACAAGATCCGGCCCCTCTGGCGGCATTACTTCCAAAACACCCAGGGTAGGTGCCCGTGTGCCAGGCTGGGGGGCCGGCTGTGCCCCCCAGCCCCTCGGGGGCACCCCGCTGCGGTCCCCGTGCTGTCCCCAGCGCCGTGGCCGTGTCCCCCCGCCCAGGGCTGATCTTCGTGGTGGACAGCAACGACCGGGAGCGGGTGAACGAGGCGCGCGAGGAGCTCATGCGGATGCTGGCGGAGGACGAGCTGCGGGACGCCGTGCTGCTCGTCTTCGCCAACAAGCAGGTGGGGGCCGGGGGGACACGGCCGGGCCCATCCCTGTGGCATCGGGGCTGGCATTACACAGACCCCTCGCCATGGTGGGACCATACCCATCTCCGTGGCATTGGGACCGTGCACATCCTCGTGGCACCAGGACCATGCCCATCCTCGTGGCGCCACTGCTGGCATTACACAGACCCCCATGGTGGGACCGTGCCCATCCCTGTGGCATTGGGACCGTGCCCATCCTCGTGATGCCAGGGCTGGCATTACACAGAACCCCCCCCATGGTGGGACCGTGCCCATCCCCGTGGCATTGGGACTGTGCCCATCCTCATGGTGTTCAGGCTGACATTACACAGACCCCACCATGGTGGGGCCATGCCAATGCTGTGGTGTCAGGACTGTGCCCATCCCCATGGCACTAGGGCTGGCATTACACAGCCCCCCATGGTGGCACCATGCCCATCCCTGTGGCGTAAGGACCGTGCCCATCCTCGTGGCACCAGGGCTGGCATTACGCAGCCCCCCATGGTGGCACTGTGCCCATCCCCATGGTGTCGAGGCTGGGGTTTTGCAGACCTTATGGTAAGGCCGTGCCCATCCCCGTGGTGTTGGGGCTAGGGTTTTCTAGCCCCAGGCTGGCATGAGGGCTGTGCCCATCCCCGTGGTACTGAGGTTGAGGTTCAGCAGTTGGCACGGTGTCCCTGTCCCCGCAGCGTCAAGGTTGGGGTTAGCAGCCCCCATGTCGAGGCGGTGCCCGTCCCCGTGGCAATGGCCTCGTTGCCATCCCTGTGGCATCGGGGCTGGCATTCGGCAGCCTGTGCGGCCCTGCCAGGGATTTGGCAGCCGCGCTGGAATCCGCTCCGTGCCCATCTCCGTGGCGTCGGGCCGCGCTCCTTCCCGTGCCGCCGAGGCTTGGCTGTCACAGCCCCAGAGCCGTGCCCGCGGCGTCGGGGCCGTGCCCGCGGCGCTGCCCTCCAGGCTCCCTCTGCCCTAGGACCTGCCCAACGCCATGAACGCGGCGGAGATCACGGACAAGCTGGGGCTGCACTCCCTGCGCCACCGCAACTGGTACATCCAGGCCACGTGCGCCACGAGCGGCGACGGCCTCTACGAGGGCCTCGACTGGCTCGCCAACCAGCTCAAGAACAAGAAGTGAGCGGCGACGGCCGCCCCCCCGCGCCCGGCCGCCCCCCCTGCCCGGTTCTGCCCCTCCTCCGGTTTTTTTTGGGGTTTTTTTTTCTCGCTTTTTTGGGGTGCCGGCGGCCTCGGGGCTTCGCCTCTTCCTTCAGGGGCCCCCCTGGATCTCGTGTGTGCGTGCGTGGAAATATAGCTCTATATAAAAGTATATGGGGGCTGGGGGCAGAGCCCCCCCCGGGGGGGGTTCCTGGCCCTGGACACCCCCCCTCCCCCC